CCATATCGTCCGGTTGCACTCTTCTGCCCGGGAGGAAGTTGAGCGATTGGGGAGGTCCGCTGGCGATTGGCGGTCCGCTGGTGGAATCCGTTCCTATTCAACTGGCCGTTTGCTGTCCTTGCACAATCACCCTGTGGAAAAGAAGGAGCTTCCCTTCTCCTGCTTCGCGCCTGCCAGACCCAGTCCAGTGTTGCTAGGCAACCCCCCACATATATGTGTGTGTGTGGGCATGTGTACGTGTGTACCTCAAAGTCATAAAGTGCAGAAAGGTAATTGTACCGGAAATGGAAATGTAAGCTAAAGAGGCAGCGGTGGTCAAGTGACATCAGTAAGTGTTTCACTTCAGTCGATTGGCAATGTTAAACGCCTCGCCGATGTTAATGTCAGTTTCCCCCACTGTCTGTGTGTGTGGGGGGGGGGGGACCTCCTCTCGTGTTTCCATGGCAACGGCACCAACAGGACCCACAAGGAGCATTGACTCCAGCTGACAGCGGAAGCGGTAGTATGTAGTTTGCGTGCTGTGCGCATCTTCCCCTGCCAGCCAGAACCTTGAAGACAAATAAACGTCACGCATACGCCCCCCCCCCAAGTCCTCCTTCGTCTTCCTCCATCGTCCTGCTCATCTTCATCACCTTGCTGCCTGACTGTGCACATCAACGTTGCGTTTGTTCCTTTGACTTTACTGCCTCTGAAGAACCCTCACCCCCCCTCCACTCCTCTTGCCTTCCAACTGGAGGCTGTAAAAAAAGCAATAACAGTCTGAGCCATTAATACGCCACACACACACACACACACACACACACACACACACACACACACACACACACACACACACAGAGCAAGAGGATGTCTCTTCCCTCCGATGTTGATTTGTGTTCCGAGTGCATTTTAGCACTCGGTCACAAACTCAAAGGTACCCGTCGGTGCTGGCAACACTTGGAAAAACAGTCGTTTGAAATATTGCCTTTTCAGTGAAGTCATTTCAAGTGGTTGGAAATCAAATTACAAACCGACTATATTGACAGTGCACAAAACGGCAAAGCGTCAAGATTGACAAGGCTTGGCGGGTGCAGGCGATTCTTTGAAAGCATTACGTTGAAATCATGCTGAAAATGCAGCTGTCACTTGTTTTCCTCAATCCACATAATTTTGGGCAGATTTTCAATTGTCAAACCTCAGAGGCTCCTCTGAGTATGGGTCGTCCTTGAAAATTGAATCGAAAGCAGCGTCATAAAATTCGAGTTGCTCTCCGGTCTCGTGTTGATTTCCTTGTCGTTTGTCTTCTCGCCAGCCATGCAATTCCACGAGAACCTCCACGACTTGGCGGTGAAGGAAGGGCTGAAGGGCCGCAAGCTTCACAAGGCTGTGGAGAGCTTCACGTGGAACATTACCATCCTCAAGGTGACGCCTTCTTTTTTTTAATTTATTTTTTTATTACTATTATCATTTTTTTTTCCAGGTGTCACAATGTAGTGTGCAAACTTCACAGTTGGGCTCAGCAATACGTCCTTAAAATAGCATCTCAGATTTTCTTTTCCTCGAGTAGAAAAAGTGAATGATAGTGACATCTCTTAAAATAGATGTTCCTCTTCTTTTTCTCCTTTGGGATTTTGCTTTGAAACTATTTTTCTTCAAACACAAGTCCCCCTAACAAAAGCGTTAATTTGCATTAGCTTCCACTGAAGACAGGAAACACTTTAAACTGCCTAAGCGACAGAAAAAATGTTTTCTTCACTAAAAATTTATTTGATTTCCTCGAAAAAAAAATCCTTTTTTCCCCCCTGAACAAATATTTGTTTCCCTCCCCACAAAATATCTTTCCGCCAAAATAGATCCCTCCCAATTGATCGCCCCTGAAGAAAGATTTTTGGCCCTTCCAAAAAAATATTTTATTTTCCCCCATTTTTTTACTTCTCGGAAAATGTTTTCCCTTCCTCTTCATTTTGCTCACCAAAATAGATTTTGTTTTCCCAAAACAAATTAGTGTGCCAGAAAAATAATTTTGTGTCCCAAACTTATCCCACCCCGAAAAAAGGTTTTTTTTGCATCCAAAATATAGTTCATTTCCCAGAAAAATAGATCCTCCCAGCCCAGTTTTTTTTATTTATTTATTTATTTATTTTTTTACCCAAATATCATCCTAACAAGTACAATCAACTCAAACACAGCTGATCCAAAAATGCTGCACACGGTTAAAAAAGCAAACCTAAGCTAGAAAAACTATTTTTTGGCTTGGGTTTCAATGGTCATTTTTAATGTTCTCATCTCACATCGTTTAAAAAAAAAAAAAAAACTCGGACAAATCACTAAAATCCAAAAATCGTGCAGCTTTCCTTAACAGCTTGCCAAACCCAACACGCCTCGAGAAGGGCCATCTCACATCCTTTGATGTTCTTCCCCTCAGGGCCAGGCGGACCTCCTCAAACACGCTCGCGGCGAAGTGCAGGAGAACCTGAAGCAGATCCATTATGCAGCACTGACATGCGACCTCAGCAAAGGGAGACCGGCGAGCGGCTCGTCCGACTCCAAAAGTAGCCGACGCAGCCTGGAGGCCATTCCCGAGAAGGCCACCGCTGACGCAGAGCTCACAGAAGACGACGACGAAGACGACAATTGACGTTGTTTTCACATTCCACTGAAGACTTTGAAACTACCAGACACCGCTTAGTGATCTTCAGGTATTCCTACTCAGAAACCCCGCTCCTCCCATAAATCCTGGAACAAAATTGCTCGACCTCATCCTGCCTAAATGGAAGAACATCGGGCATGTTAGATGGTACCTTGAAGTTCCATCAGTAACCTCAGGAAATATGCTAAAACGGAACAACCAGCTAGTCAGTCTGCGGCTACCCCATGTGGCTAACACGGCAGTTTGGGCACATGCACTCGCTGCTCCTTCTTGTCAAACAGATGGACTCAAATGCAAAAATCAATTCACATATGATCAACATCAATTATTCATTCACAGAAAGTTTATAGGAATGGTAAGAAAAAATGGGAAATACCACCACCCTGCTAAATTGAAATCATAACGGCTCTTAACACGAAGCAACACTCGTGCCAAGTCATTCGGGTGTGTTGACTGCATTGGGCGGGTAACGATCCCTAAAATCGTTTCGTCTAATTCTTTGATGGCTGAGGTCCCAGTGGAAACCTGACAGAAATTCAGCTCGTCTCACAGGGTTTGCCCAGCACGGGGGTCGGCGACCCGCGGTTCCAGAGCCGCATGCGGCTCTTTAGCGCCGCCCTAGAGGCTACCTGGAGCTTTTTCAAAAATGTTTGAAAATGGAAAAAGATGGGGGAGGGAAATATATTTTTTGTTTTAATATGATTTCTGCATTCTTTACGTTTTCCAATGCTTTAAAATGTGTAGAATCAATATTAAATGTCAACATTTCTATCAACGAGGATTTGCGTCATAGCCTGCAACACACATTTCTATTAGCAGGGCAGGATGCCAGGCAGGTGGCTGTCGTGAAAAAAAAAAAAACTGCATTTCATGAACAATTCACCGAGGGTACTGGCAAAGAATGGGAATGTGGATGGCTGAGAGTCATTGTGTATTTGTAGCCAACTCAGTCATTTTGATAATATAGCTAATATCAATTCATACAGCATGTGTTTTGCTTCATTGTAAGGCTTATAAGGCTTTTAATTTTTTGCGGCCCCAGACATATTTGTTTTTTGTTTTTTTTTGTAGCCAACTCAGTCATTTTGATAATATAGCTAATATCAATTCATACAGCATGTGTTTTGCTTCATTGTAAGGCTTATAAGGCTTTTAATTTTTTGCGGCCCCAGACATATTTGTTTTTTGTTTTTTTTTTTTTGGGTCCAATATGGTTCTTTCAACATTTTGGGTTGCCGACACCTGGCCTAGCAGAAGCTTTGTGCAATTTTTGGTCAAATTTTGGTTGGGTTTTAGCTGAATACCCGCGTGATGTAGCAGAGGTGTTGCAGTATTTCAAAACGGACAAAGTCTTGGTCTGTCTTGTTCAAGAATTTCAGCTCAGCTCAATTTACCGGTCGATTTATGTTTCGACCCTCACATACGGTCACAAACTGTGGATTGTGACTGAAACAGAGTCCGCAGGGTGTCCGGGCTCTAGAGATACGATGAGAAGTTCGGTTTGGGTCTTGCTGCTCCTTTGCGTTGAAAGGAGCCAGATGATGAGGCTCGGGCATCTGGTTAGGATGCCTCCTGGATGCCTTTCTGGTGAGGTATTCTGGGCACATCCTACCAGTAGGAGCCTCCGGGGACCACCCAAGACATGCTAGAGAGAGACTGTCCTCCCAGCTGGCCTGGGAACACCTTGGGATTCCCCCCCGAAGAGTTGGAAGAAGTGGCTGGGGGAGAGGCAAGTCCGGGCTGCTGCTCTATGGATGAGCAGAAGAAAATGGATTGAGCAGCTGGAAGTCTCGTGGGATTTATTGGAAGCCTTTTTTGGCGGAATTGTTGCAGGAGTTGAGCCAAAGTCGCAACATTTGAAGGTTTTTGTGGGAAGCTTTGTGTGGTTTTGGTCGATTTCTCATGAGATGTTAGAGCAAGCCTCACGTGATTGAGCAGAAGTCATTTTGTATCTCCTGATTTGCCTCATGGTACTTGAGCAGAAACCTCGCAGGGTTTTTGTGAGCTCATATGATTTTTGCGGAAGTCTCTTTTTCAAAGTTTTTATGTGGCTTATTGAAAGTTTTGCGTGATGTGCCTCTTGACTTTAAGACCACTGACTACTCCTATTCCAATGCTTGTTAGATTTAGGACCCCCACCAAAAAATGACCCGAAAATTCTGGAATGATTCCAAAACTGTTGGAATTTTGGGGTCTTTGGAACTTCAAGGTAGCACTGTTCGCGATGACTACGCATTCTACTTGCCTCAACTCTCCCGTTCCTCCCACGTAAGACTCGCTAAGACTTTCTAGGTTCTGGACACACAAACACACACACACACATGCACACAGGCGAGCCTTTTGGATATTCCAAGATGTTCCTTAAAGCACAATAGTGAATGTGAAGGGAAGAAATGTTTACATTCCTGAACTTGCGTGCCAAGCAAACCTGATGTGTGTATATATGGAGATACCTGTTACTTTTTTTTCTCTTTTCTCTTCCTTTTTATTACTACTTGGGTTGGGGGGGGGGGACAAAAAAAAAGATTTATTTTATAAAAAAGAAAAAAAAAGAAAAAAAATGTGTGACAGGAAGGACTTGTAAGCAACCGGCAAGTGCATGAGCAGAACCACCAGTGGACATGTTTTCCAATCTGCATTAAGTTAAGCCTTTTTTACTTTGGTAGTGCCCTGTACAATTCTTGGATCTGTTTGCCAAGTTAATAAATGCAATTAACAACTTATTTTATGTGGACCAAGACGATAATTCCCTCATGTTAGCTTCTAGAAGGTGGGACATGTTTCCACTATGAAGCTCAATTTGAGGAAAACGACCTAATTACACAATAGGTTTTGGTGGGCGGTTGAGGGGTGCAGCTGGCTGCTGGTAACACATTTTGGTTTATTAATGTTCACTTGTGCAGATGTAATCACAAAAAAAAAAAAAAAAAAGCCACAAAAATATAAAGGTTATCTTTCAGTACTGCGGTGACTTTCTCATTCTGATCGCCGACAGGATAGAAATCAGAATGGAGAAATGGAGACCAATTAGTTCCATCCCTGACAAAAAAAATAAAAATCATTGTTAAAAACGCAACGTCTGCTGTGTGGTGAATATGTACACTGTATTCTGTATATTTGAACACAAATAGTGGAGCAACACAGAAAGATAACAAAACACTCATATTCTTTATCCTCTTTAAATAATGACAAATGTTACTGTGGTTTAGTCAGCAATTGTGATAATCTCCTTCATGTGTATCCTTATGTCTGTATCGCATTGCCCCCATGTGACCAAGGCCAGAAGGAGCAGCGCAATGTCCAGTGAATTACGTTAAAAAAAAAAAAAATCTTTACATTATATCTAATTATGCATTGTTCGTGCCTGTTCTTAATCTCTCACTGTCAAGAAATGGTCGAGATTGCCCAGAACAAACGCAATTGCTCAAACTTTTCGTCAGGTCTCATTTGCCCCATTATTTGTTGCTAGGCAGATTTTGTTGAATAATAAACAACCATTGTGGCAATTTCAATGTGCTTTCCACAGTGTAAACGACGTGTTTGTTATAAAAGTGTCAATTTTGAACAATATAACCTGTTCCACTTTGTTCTTTAATCAGCGCATGTATCTATGGGATCCTTTTAGGCTTTTATTGCTCCTTTTCATCAAGACCACGACTTTCCAACGCTGCTTCTTAAGAGGTTTTTGACGACCATGAGACGTAACTTTTTTTTTTGTTTGTTTTAGTTTTATGGCCGGTGTGCTAGTCGTGAAAATTTGCTTCTTGTTAGTATTTTTATTGTTACACGTAGCTTTTTAAAATGCTTCAATGTGTTCAAATAAGATGGATGGAGGGCTGGGGGAGACAGCCTTCAAATATGTATATGTATATATATTATATATTAGTTCAATAGTGTCCCCCCCCCCCCTCACAGACCTTTTTTCAGTCCTTCTACTTTGACTCGTCTTTTTTTCTTTAACAGTGACTACTTTTGCCAGATCAGTCAATACTATGCTGGCGTTAGAAGCGTTTTGCCCTGAGGCATTCTCTCGGGCCTGCCGCTATTACAGCAAGCGAGTGGCATTCCAGCGTCACAGTATCGCAGCATTCATGGCTTTTCTTCGGGAATCATTCATGCTCTGCTCATCTCTAAACGTGATGAGAGTGAGTAAAAGTGAGCGCTGTTGTGCAGCACTTAAGAGGCCTGACGGCGGTTAGACGTTACGATCCCGATCCCAAGGATGACGACACTCGCTGAGGTGGTCTCCAGGCAGAAGAAAAATAACGGCTAACAGTGTCCTTGAAATGTCTCAGTGATAGAAATCATTACTCGTTAAATGAATGTTAAAAAAAAAAAGCCCCAAAAGTCAAACACCTCCATTGTCAAACAGTACAAAAGTCAAATATCTAAAAGTCAAACTGCACATGTCCAACACCCTTCCAAGACAACCACCTCAAAATTCCATCACCTCAAAAGTTCCACACTGCAGATCTCAAGTGCCCCAAAAATAAAATGCACTAAAGTCAAATTACCTCAAAAGTCACGCACTGCAAATATAAAATGCCTCAGAAGTTGAACGTCACAAAAGTCCATCGCCCAAAAAAATCAAACACCTTGACCGACTGCTGTCGACTGAAAATGACATCACAGTTGTGAAGGGCTCAGGAAACAACCGATTGATATTCATTTTCAATCCATTTTCAGCACCGCTTATTCTGAACAGTGTGTGCGTGTGTGTGTGTGTGTGTGTGTGTGTGTGTGTGTGTGTGTGTGTGTGTGTATGTGTGTGGTTGTGTTGACATGGGGAAGGAAGAGCCTCCCACGCCAACAGGATGACGCAACCCATGGTGGCCATGCACAGAAAGCACACGCATGCACATGCACTACAGCGATAACTCGAGGACGCTCCGTTTGCTTTAATGTCGCCCATTGTTCCATGCACATTTGTCAGCCTTTAATAAGGTTCATCGCCACGCTTATGTTCGTGGTGTGGACCGTTTTGCTTCAACTTACGCCGCTTATTCTGTACAGTGTGTGTGTGTGTGTGTGTGTGTGTGTGTGTGTGTGTGTGTGTGTGTGTGTGTGTGTGTGTGTGAATATAAACCTAATCTTCGACTGAACTGTCCTATATATGCATTTTAAAATTCAAATGTTCTTGAGCACAGACGTTTTCCCGCTTTTCGATTGGCCAGAAGCGGGTAAATTAGTAAACGGTGCGCTCCTGACACCTGGTGGTCGGAAGGGACTATTGCACTGGTCGCAGCAATTGTCGAAAGGAGTTGAGTTCTGAAGCGCATCATGCCTCGCAGGTACGTGTGTACGTATTCCTAGTGAGCGTTAAAATATTTCTTTTTTTTAACTCACCACGCCATCATCGTGGTACAATATGAAACAATGTGAAAATGTCTGTGTGGATTGTGTACTCAATGAATTGACCTAATAAGCATATGTTGACACACTGATCATATTATATGCATTAAAATTGAATAGATGTAACAAAGACAAACATTTGAAAGATTGGATTCAAATATGAGAAGAAACATGCATTGTTTGAAATTATATAAATCCTATAAATTAATATTGTGGAACTATCTGAGATTGTGTACCTAAGGGACTGACTAAAGCGTACAGAATCAAAATTCAAATTTGAGTTTTCAGTGCTTAAAAAAATGTTCATTCAGTAACATGTCTTGTTGACATATGAATTCATTAATTGCAACGTTACATAATATATTAAATTGAAAACTGATTGCTAAAATGTTAAATGTGAATGATAATACCGTATACCTATTTTATTTCAGTTTGTGTTGCAATTGCATATTTGTACAACTAGATGGCAGGTTGTGCATGTGGAATTCTTACCTGGATGCCCCCTACCCTCCCTCTGACAGTACCCCCCACCGCTTCCCTCTCCATTCCCTCCCTCAGGTAGCTTATAAGTTTTCAATCTAATCATGTTTCTATTCAGTCGGGAGCTGATAGCACCTGCCGTTTTCCCACAATTCACCGCAGCAGCTCCCCGCCGCCGTGTCAGAATGAACATATGGCACTTTATTAAAATAAACAAACAAAAGGAGATTATATATAAAAAAAAAAACAAACAAAAGTGATGAGCTAAAAAGTTGCACTGCACTTACCGAGTAATCACATTCAGGACTGCAGCTACGGTGTATTTTTTGAGATTACAGCGTTTACCAATTATCCCATCAAGTAAGCAAGTCAAATCAAACAATACCAACACACAATACAAGAAAGTTCATGTAAGGTGGAACAATGATTTTGTCCATTGACGTCAATCATCGTAGTATCTGTGACTGCGTGTGTGTTTTTGAAAGACAGGGCCGAGGCTGGTGACTGACGTGGGTGTCGGCAAATAAGATCGTATTTGGCTGTGGTTTGCTTGGTCAAGCGGCTGTCTGTTAACTGCTAACTATCGATGTGTCTGCGTGGTGAGTTACTAGATGTCAATTGTGGGTCATGGAGGGGCAGTTAACCTGCTGCCTGATCCAATTACTGAGTCAGCACTTTTACAAATGAAGGAAACCACAGACTCATCAACGTGGCCGAATTTGAGGCGGTGACCAACCTGTCATTCAGTAGCTCACGAAACCCGGAGATGATAGATCCAACAAGCCACTAAACACGTCTGTCTTCATTCATTAGCCGCCTCTCATCACCATCAGGCCTCCTGATTTAATGAGGCACACACACGCTCGCACACACACGCTATTAAGACTATTAAATGGACACATCTGTTTTTCATTAGCAGCTAAAGTCACCTCGATGCTGCCGTGTTAATGGAGCGAGCCGAGCCTGAAGAACAATGCACCAAACAACACGTTGAGGGAGGAAGGATGAAAGTCATACCTACGTTCACCTCAACAAGGTGGACTTACTCGAACTACACTTGTCTAAACGTGCTTGGGCTCACTTGACACCTAGACTCCAATCTGTAGGTGATTAATATTTATTCAAGACCCCCTTCATTGCTTTGAGGTCCCGCTATTTCATATTATTCTTATTTTTTTAATATTTATAGTTAATAATTCAATATTAGTGTAACTCTCCTGCAGCCTCCTCAGTCATGCGCAGGCACATTTACGTGTGCTATATTTAATATGATGACTCCAGCGATTCATGAAAACTGCCACCTTTCACAAATGGAAATAAACACAACATCTAGAAATACTCCACAGAGTCCAATAAAAGTCGAATTCACATTGCTCGCTCATCCCGAAAAACTCACCGCTTGCATTTGCGAGTGCAAATGAGCATTGGGCATCATGTCACTCATGCAGTTCTCTCACTGGGCCATTCTGCTGTGTGAGTTGGAAAATTGGGAACTCCCACGACGCCTGAACTCACCACCAGTGGGACCATGACAGGCTGTGTGTGTGTGTGTGTGTGTGTGTGTGTGTGTGTGTGTGTGTGTGTGTGTGCACGCGTACATTAGATGCAATATTTACTTGCATTGTCCCTGAATTAATGAAAATACTTACCTTAGGTTACTACAGCACCACGAGGCCGAATTTCTAACAGTTAAGCAAACAAGAGTAGCCTGAAAAGCTAACAAGGCTAAGTACAAGTAACTTGATTTGGCCGTAAACGTATGTCATGCTGTTGTTAACCCTGACACCGTTGTTAACATACACACCAGCTACGAACCTTAATGGTTCACATCCACATCATACAGACTTATTTAGCTTACTTTACACTTTTATCTTCCTGCTACCTGGTTCCCAACTGCTTGTCTACCTAGCTAGCTACCTACCTACCATCTTTATCTCTGAAAACATTCGGTCAGCAAATAAAAAGTGCCTTCTCCTGTTCAGGATGTGCTGTACCCCGAAGCCGTTTATGATCATCTTTCAATCTGTTCGACACGAACTCCGCCATGATTTTGTTGCCATTACAGATGATTGTCAAAATCGTCAACTTTGCCAATTCGTAATCTCGGCTGTTCTCCGTCTGGGAGACTCTGTTTTGAAAGTGAGAGGCAATTTCAGCCTTCACGGACAGCGAGATTTGCTTCCGTTTACCAGACATGTGCTAAAACCACGTTCGGCGTGCCTCCGGAAGTACAACAGTGTATGAGTCGATGAGTAGCATTGCTCGGAACGGAGAGGAATCCCGCGCTGTACATTTAGTTGATAAGCAAGCTCGCGGCGGCAATTAGCTTCCCACTGTTTGTTGTAACAAAGGCCTTTTCACTATTTTGTGGGAAGAGTCTCGTTGTTATGATCAAGTTTACGTGATGTACTTGCCTGCAACCTCGTTCCAACTGAATACCAACTGTCCAAGCAAATGACTTTTGACCACTACTGAATTTTTGCAATATCATACTTTGTTGCGAGTTATCTTGCTAATGAGTCATTTGAAGTTGACATTAGCAGTAGCACATGTGCTAGTGTAGCTAGTTAGCAACTATGTTAGGTAGAGTTGAGCGTCATGTGCTTACATTGGTATAAATGTTCACTATAGGACTTCCATTTAGTATCGCAATCATTTCTAGCATATTCACCATCGCACCTGGAGGTCTTCTCTTTTACACGGTGTAATTATTATTATTTTTAGCATTTCGGGGTCCCAAAAGAACAGTCATCCAGGCAGTGCTGAGTTTGTACAACATTAATACCCAGGCTAATAGCGGCTGGCAAGTGGAGCTAACACCAAGCTAATAGCGGCGGTGAGGGACAGAGCTGGTGCCACCGCAGGGACATGCCCAGCATCCTTGTTGGCCTTGGAGGAGGCCCCTCACCTCCCAGCTTGTAATTAGTAGCCAGTGACAACAGCAATGCTAATAATTACCCAAAACAAGAGATTCCCCTTGCGCTTTATTCTATTAATATTTGTGTTTGTGTGTGTCTGTGTGTGTGTGTGTGTGTGTGTGTGTGTGTGTGTGTGTTTTGTTTTGTTTTAAGTTGTCATTGCAAATCAGGGTCATGTGCTCCTTTGAGTATGAAATGGTGACTGAGCCAAGATGGTGGCTTGTGGTATTTCGTACCGTAAAAGCAAATAAACAGAATTGTAGCATGAATTTAGCTTTAGCCTTATTGCCTTGTTGAGTGCAGGTAGAAAACACTCCAGTTGGGGTGATGTAGCATTATGTTCCTCACTATGTAACACATGTTTGCATTGTAGCATCTTGTTGCGATTGTATCTTAACTATTGTAACATTTTTAAATGTTGGACAGGGCCTAAGTTTAGCCTGCGGTGTTAGCCGACCTTTCAGAGTCTTGACCACATGCACATTGTACACACAAACGGAGCATTTTTTTCAAAATTAAATCATCTTTAAATCATAATTTTTTTAAGGGTAATGATGATTTTGAGTTTGAAATACAGGTATTACTTATATTTCAAACTAAAAAAATATTATATTCATGGATAACTAAACAAATACTACAGGCAATTCCATTTTTTATTTCAATTAATAGTGTTAAGCATGGGCTTAGTCATCATTGGATAATTTTCCTGTACTCATCTGTATTCTGTATTCATATACTGCACATGTACAGTGGAGCCCCATTTATTGCAAAAAAAATCCCAAAACCAATTAAATCGACAGGTTATTGGCGATTAGCATCAATGTTATGGTTATTTATAAACCTTCAAAAAAAATGCTTCTTTCGCATCATATTGTAAAAGAACACTAACGTATATAAACACACATCTAACTAAATAATTTTAGCAATGAAGCATCATCAGGCTATCCAGCGAGTGTCTGAATTTTACCAATATAGCATGATCGTTTTTTTGTTTTTTTTTGTCTGGTTTCCTCCCAGCATGCATCAAGGCGCTTGGCGAAAGCCCGCTTATGTTTGTATTCACTCGGTCGATATTAGCGCTGACAGAACGCGTTGCTAATTGCTAATTGTGTGTCTCATTAGTGTTGGGGGTGACAGGTGTTGCGAGCATGTCGTGCCTCTGTTGCGCCGTTTCTCCCGTGAGTTTCCTCCTTCCCCACAGCGGCTGACGCTACCGAAGCTCAAGCTTAATGGCCCCCCCGGGACGGTCCTCTGGTGGGTCTCGGGGTCCTCGCCTTTTGGATACTGTGATACAGCAACATGCATGGGATAACTCCCCTGACTCGATGCACTGGTAAGATGGCTTTGTTTGCACGTTTGTTTGTCTGTCATCCATTGTGGTTCTTGAGTGTGTGTGTTAATTTTGTAAAGACAAATGCTGCGGTTGAAACTTGCTTGCTTTGCTACCTATTGACTACCTATCTCTCAACCATTTAACTGAACCACTGACCACCTATACCAACTACTATCGACCAACCATCTCTATCAACAATCTGTTGAACTCCCAATACTCACCTCCAACCTAAATTATCATCATACTGACTGACCTACCCACCTACCCAGTACACACTTGCCGACTACCGACTTACTTTCCTGCTCCCAAGCTGTATACCAGTCTACCTTTCGATGGCCAAGCCAACTGACCTCCCTACCACAAAATAGCGCTTAACGGTTTTTGAAAACTAATATACCGGTAATTGTGATTCCCCCCCCCCTCTAACCCCCAATATTTTGATTGAGATTGTGATTTAATATGCAATTATTTTTTTCAAGGTACTCTTCCCATGTATTTTCCTGAAACAACCACAAGCAATACATCTGTAGCAAAAGAAACAAATATCATCGATATCTGCCGACCTACCTGCGCAGTCGGTACGACTGTACCAAAGGTAGAGTCTATACCTACCCACTCCAGTCTACCAACTTTGTACTTTGCTACCTACTTAACAATGACCCATTCAACTTCCTCTCTACCTTTTAATAGAAAAATATACCTGCTTGAAAAATATACACCTTTGTTTGGACACTTACTTCCTTGCCTGCCTACCTACCTCCTTCTCTGACACTGTCAATCAAAATTGAGCATTATTATCTTTGTAAATATGTACAGATCAGGTAAATGCTTTCTCTCTCACACACGCACACACACACACACACACACACACACACACACACACACACACACACACACACACACCGAATCCTCATCATCTTCATCATGGTCTAATTGGATTACACCAGTAAGTGTGTGTTCTGAGTGTGTGTGTGTTCCGGTAATTGAGTCGGCCTTGTTGGTCAGTGGGGAATTGAAGTGTTAAATCCAATTCCGGATTGGTAGCTCTCGGTTAGAGTGTGTGTAGTGTGAGTAGCGACCATATGTCACTTGTTCTGCCAGTGTGAATATGGATGAGACACCCGAATTGGAGGTAGCGGCATCCGCGTGACTATCACTTGACGCTCATTTGTCTGCATTGAGCAAGTGGGGTGGCCATCACAAAGTGAGAGTTGAGTTCTAATGAAGATGAAAGTGACTCCGTAGGGGTTAGACTCTTTATTCCGGCTTGTTTTTTTTTTAACCTCGGCACCATATGTCCTGATGCTAATGCCACTTAGAAACAGGATTTGGCTAGCTAGGAGTCGAGTGTAGTGCCGGCTACTTTATGCTAGCAGCTTCTTGCACACATCAATCCCACAAAAAGTGCCCCCTCAGATAAATAACAATCAGATCAGTACCAGCGTCTGGTTAACCACAACCTTAAACGCTACCCTAGTCAATGTATAACTCAGGGGGCCCACATGAGAAACTGGAATGTTTGCTCAGGGCTAATCGAACATGCTAAGCAAAATTTCGTCGAGCTACCTACCTTCTACCTTCATACCGACACAGTTCACCTTGTAGCTAGCGATCTCCTCCCTTTCTACCCTATCAACCACCGTATCACTTTGAATCGACACACAAAAAATTACAGGATTGGATTCCGGACGGGCTGAAGAAGCTGGGTGCCATTTTGGACAGTTTTTGTGTACTGGAGTTGTCAGTAAGTGTAATGTCACATTCCTGTATGAAAATGTTTTTCTAGTTTTGGCCATTGAACAGATTCATGTGTGCCTAAAAGTTCCCTCTGTGATGACATGAAGCGTAAGCCCCCGTAATCATCATAATCATCGTCATCATCTTCACATCTCATCCGGCAAACTTTGTCGTCAGTTTCTCTACTTCAAGAGCGCCACACAGATAAATCTCTGCGTGTCGCTAATGAAGTGCGCTTTAACAATAAAACATGCGATAAATGACAAGTCGCTTGACAAACGCCACCAAGAAGTAGTTCCGCAGGCCATCCAATCAATCAAGGCGCGCCGCAGCCCAGATCAATCAAAGCGTGAAGGAGGAGGAGAAGGAAGCCTCTATCGTCATTTTTATTGAAAAATCACTCATCTTCTTCTACTTCCTCGCCCACTGCCAGCACTGGAGGGTGTTTGAGAAGAGGAAAAAGGGGAGGCGGAGGAAGAGTGATCACCACCGAGGGAGTGGAGGGCTCCGTCTTTAATGTTCATGTACCCCCCCCCCATCCCCTTTGACATCCAGACCAACTGTCTGATGGTGCCGCCCTCTCAAAAAAAAAAATGTTTTCGAAAAGTGCGACATAACAATTAAAAGAAAATAATTCAAGTGTAACTGAAGCTTGAAATTTACATTCAAAAGTAAATTTGAAGATAGATCAAATAAAACCAATCGTATTTTCTCGGACTAATTTCATCTCATCAAAAAAACTAATAAAATATTAAAACTGTGATGATATTATGCAATACAAACCCTAACTAGATTTAAATTTAAAAAAAAACCTGACCATATTGTACACGACAAGAAATACAGACCATCTTATCAATGTTACTATTCTAATGTAATTTAAATACAAAATAAGTATTACGCACTGCTAATTCTAATTCAACTACAAAAAACTATTCAATTCACATTAAAAAAAATACTGACCATTATACAATACGAATTATATTTTGATATAAATACAAATATTGACAGCGTTATACACCGATTAAATTAGTGAAATACACGATAGACGTTTCATTTAAATAAATGTAATTAGTTGTCTATTTTAATCACAAAAAGGAAAATGTACATATCAACTGCTACCTTAATAAAACAAAATCAGAATGAAATCCTGAAAATTATATCAGCTACTACGAAAAAGAAGTTCATTGAATAAAAACAGCAAGAATGCTGAAAATATTGTTTCCTACTAATTTTGATTTTAAAAAAAAAATCTAGACTGGAGTACACACTAGTTATTTGTTTGAAATAAATAGTCACCAGATTTTACTCACTTGAATTTTAGCAAATACAAACGAAGTACAAAGAAAATATGACCATATTTTAAGATACTTGAATTTCATTAAATTACTTTGCATATCACAGACTAATTCAGTGTGGTTCTAAATGTCACGTTTTAGTTCAGAGCTCCCACACTGCCCACACACGTTCAAAAAAAAAACACGCATACGTGGAGCCATTAGGTGGCGCACTTCTCTCACCGTAGTGCTGAGCAACCTCAAGGAGGAGGTGAAAAGACAAACTTGGCCGTCATGAAGTAAAAAAATAAATTACAAATCCAAAAATGTTTTCTTCCCTTTTTTTGTTCTTGTTTTCGTTATCGTGAAAAATAAAATGCAACATCTGTTGTAAATACATTTGGATACATTAGTGCGTCCTCTGAGGGCTGTGTGCAAATCACAGGCAAAGAGTGAACTATTTCCTGTGTGTCTCACACACACACACACACACACACACACACACACACACACACACACACACACAGTTTGAAGACCAACACAAGTGACGACTTCTTCAAAGGACACATCGTTGTCAATATCAAACAGTTGGCACGTCCATTAGCGCAAAGTATTCGGAACCGCACCCGTCGAGTTATTATGCAAGTAGATTACTGGTGGGCCGCGGGTTTGAGAGCCGGGAGCATTCAATATGTGTGAACTTGAAGCAAGTGCCAATTTTGCGTGGCAAAAATCAACCGAAGTCAAGTGGATTCCCCACGAAATTTCAAGTTGAGTCAATCGATTACTTGCGCAAAGTCGTACCAGCGTAATCACAATCTCCCCCAAGATGTTTCCATACTGTCTATTATTTTATTGCCCTCTCTATTAAACGCAAAACCTTGACTTCCGGGTCACTTCCGGGTTGAGTGAACGCTGGCGCGTCTGGCTGCCGCTGCTCACCCGCTATTATTCTTTTTTAGC